CCTCCCTCCCTTCCTCCCTCCCTCCCTCCCTCCCATCCCAGTGGTTAGACTGCAGAATTGCAGGCTGACTCTGCCGACTGCCAGCAGCTCGATCCAGAGCAGCTCAAAGTTGACTCAGCTTCCGTCCTTCCGAGGTGGGTAAAATGAGGACGAAGATGGTTGGTGGGCAAGTGGCTGACTCTGTAATCCGCTTAGAGAGGGCTGCGAAGCACTCTGAAGCGCTCTATAAGTCTAAGGGATATTGCTATTTTTTTTCCCCTTATTTACGCACCTCTGCACATTTCTGCCTACTGAGAAGGACACCTTGGGCACAGAACGGGATGTGGCGTCGCTGACAGGGGCGGGAGGCAAGTTCTTGCACGTCAAAGAGGAGAGATCCAAAGCGGCTTCACAATTAAGTGACTCAGGCCTCTCCCCCCTCCAAAGAGTGACTTCATCCCCTAAAAACTTGCAAAATGTTGGTGTGGAGGAGGAAAGTCGGATGAGCAACATAAGGTACGTCGGCTTGGCTTTGCTGTATTAAGATGCAGGACTAGCAACGTGAAATGCGTCGCCCACAATTCAGGTGGAAGAAAACCGGAGTCGTTCAGACCCACTAAGAAGGCAATTGAAGTAGACACGTGGCACCATGCCAATTCGACTCGCCATCACTCCCAAAATCAACATTTACCTAGCTCAGTGCTGCTCAACCTTTTCGGCACGGACTGCCGAAACGGGAGGGCACACAGATGTGGGGGAGCGCCAAAAACCGGAAGAGCGGTTCTCCAGCGTGCAGGTTGGGAAGCTGAGCTTCCAGTTTCTGGCATGCGCGCCACTCAACTAGTCTTCTGCTTTATGGCACACGTGTGTGCGCAAAGACCAGCTGGGGGCGCGCATGCATGCGGCAGAAGACCAGGGGACCAGTGCAATCCTGCGTGCCAGGTAGCTGCGTTTCTGCTTTCTGGCACTCCCGCGAGCAGGAAGACCAGCCGGCATGCGTGCTTGTGCGTGCCGGAACCCGGAAGAGCAACGGGCAACAGCTAGTGTGCCCGGA